TTTTATTGTTTTCACACAGGATCTTATCACTATTATGAATATAACTTCGGAATAGCTTTTCCAACCTTTGTTTTTGACATGAAGAAACCAAAGCCTGTAGAAATGCCTCATGGGTTGCGATTGTCACCCATGACATAGGAGAGTTAGGGCTGGAATTCGGGACTCCCAATCGCAAACCAGTTTGTTTCCGTACGACCAATAAAAAAGACCAAAACCTGGTGAGGATACCTGCTGAATTGCTTTCTTCCTCACCTCATTCCCCATTCTAAGCAAAATTCTGAGGGAACCGGGTGGCTGGGGGCTGCAGGAGTCGCCGAAGGGCTCACAAACAGTCTTTGAATGGAATAGCTAGACAAGTGATTGCAGCCTGGTAATACTGAAAGAGATATTCCTGTGCGTAAGTAGTGAGAGCATACTTCTTTTGTATCCAGAGAAAAACTTGTGTCAAGAATAACCAGTGGGCCGTGCTGAAGCTGTTTGATATTGCATACGCTGTCGAAGGCAACTAAAGCTACTTAAAACTCATCCCCCACACTAACTCCCTGCAGCTCTGTGGACTTCTCAGGGAAAAGCCACATAAACACATCCTTCTACTTACAAATAATGGAGGAAATCTTCTTAGAAATTGAGACACTTCGGTAGATAATTTTGCCTAATATATCCATACTTTGAAAATGATTAAAGAAAATGGAGTCTCCCTCCCCCCAGTGAGGGCAGGTACTTTGACTTGTCAAACTTACGTTGGACATTTTCTCTTCGTTTGGAACTGCCACAGAATAAGCCCTTTCATGTCCTCAATAATACCAAACCAATGCAATCCATCTGTTCTGCCAAATTATTTCTAGTTCCCTAACCAAAGGCACTGCTTTTTCATGCATTTTATCATGATTTTATGCCCTTTATTATATTTTACAAAAGGTTCTGATTCCTCCAGGGCCAATGAGAACTGATTAGGACACTGGCCTCAATCCAGCCTTTGAACACAGGAGAGGAAGGAATAGAACCGTTTCCTTTTTTCTCTACTCCTTGGCAGAAAAGCATATGAATCTATACCGTGTGTGCGCTCCGTGTGTGGGTGGGTGTGGGCAGGCAATGCCTTATCCTGTCACAGTACGACTTTGGAGATCATGTTCAGAGCATTTTTTCTGTAATCACGTTGCATTAAGGGGCTTTATTTCAGAAAGACTATTTCTTTAGGAAAGAACCGCGATGCAGCGTGAGACTCAATGATATCGTCATTTTACATGGCTTTAGTCAAACTTCCAATCTGAATGGAAACTCTCTTGGATCTGTGTGGAATCAGAATACACTCATAATTGCAAAGTAGGTATTCATTAAGCACTGGTTCCTTCCTGATTTTCAGTGGGCACTGATTGAAGGCAAGACACAAAGAATGGTGGTGGAGTAACAAACACAGGCTTAGAGAGACATCAGAAGCGCTATAAGTGCTTACTGCTTGGCCTGTATAGGCAAAGATCTAAGCCTATGTTTGGGTACCGTGAAGAAGTCCCCTGATAAACCATTATCTTTTAAATGCATTAAATGTCCCAATATGCTCAGAATTCTTAATAATACTTTGGGTCAGACTATCATAAAAGAGTTTACATAGCCATCCGTCAGACCAGTTATCTCTGAGAACGGAACCAGCATCTCCCTAAATCATGATGAATAGAGCACTTTGTCCCATTTTGTGATTCATTATGCTCTTGACCTTTGGCTCTTGGGAGCATCTTGGAGGGAAAATGAAGAATAAAGGGCACATGGGAAACAGAAAGAGAAAAGATGAGATAAAAATATCTACAGTTAAGCCTAAACAAGTGAAAGAGTAAATGAAAATGAGAAATACTGGCTAGCAGTCTGAGAAAAGTTGACGGTGACTAGCGTAAGGCATCTGAGAAGAGTGGGTGAGCCAGAGCCACACGGGTGGTGCGGAGCTAGAGCCTGGTAAACCGGGGACTCTCAGCTCAGATGTCTACTAGGTTCCCACAGAGAGACAAAACTCTCAAGTTATGCTTTCTCCTAGCTCCTCACAGGCTGGCTTCTACTGCTTCTTCCTCTCCTGCAGCTGGGAGAAACAAAGGTGGTTGTCAGATCAGTTCTGCCTGTCTGGTGTGATGGAGCATCCTTGTCTTCCCAGTACTCACAAAGCTGAGGCAGGAAGATGGTGACTTGGGGGTCAGGCTGAGACTCAAATAACAAAGCAAACAACACAGAAAAAGAATGGTTACTTCCTTATATTGAATACAATTATTTTTCAAACAATGTAGATAGATGATAGATGGGTAGACAGATAGATAGAGACAGAGCCAACATTTGTGTCAAATGAGTTATCAAGATGAAAACTTATCTACAGTGGTGAATTTAAATAATGAAGCAAGAATAGATGTGGAAACTTAAAGTAAGAGCAAGGCTGGATCCTTTTGGCCTGTTTGGAGTCTTACCCTTGTGTGATTCAGTAGGTGTCCTTTTATGATTGCCATCACTGAGTGACTGCTGTTACTGCTACTAGGAATCCTGAATTCTGTTACAGATTATTGTTTGCTACGTGGCTGGGTGTTCAACTAGAATGCTTTTTGAATCACTGAAGAATAAGGAAAACATTTGAAGCAAGCATGGAGTGTATAGTATGAACATGTACGTGACCAGCTATAAAAACACTATTGATAATGTTTCACTTTATACTAAAGGCAAAAATTCAATGTAGACCAAAATAATTTTAGCAAGGAGGGGAAGGAACATAAGTGTTTAGGATAAAATAGTCAAAACATGGGTCTAAATATCAACTATAGAGTTAACTTTGTTAGCATGGCTTGGTGGCGCAGCCTGTAATCCCAGGCTGAGGCAAGAGTTTTGCAAGTCACGGCCATCCCAGGCAACTTAGTAAGACCTTGTCTTGAAATCTAGAGTGCTGTGGATGGAGCTCAGTAGTAGAGTGAATGCCTAGTATACAGGTCTTGGGTTCAATCTCCAATACCTTAAAAACAACAGAAATACTTGACATTGTTTAATGTATTGCTGCTTCACTGTATCCGCATATATCATATGTATCTACGGACAGGCTGTTGTTTCCTTCACTGTATCCACATATATCATATGTATCTACGGACAGGCTGTTGTTTCCTTTTTCTAAGTGGTCATTGTTATGCAACTAGGATTGATTGGCTATGTTGATTTTCTGATCTCTTCTCATTCTAGTTTTAGATGACTCAAACCATGGAGTTACCAGGGTTTCAATGGGGGACTTTCCACCTCTGAAATCTCCTTGTTAAACTTTGTCTTGAGTTGGTGACTTACAACTTTCTCTGACTTGTCTGGCCTTTTGCTGGTTGTTCTAGTTCTTTAGCTGTCCTGGGCTTCCATAAATGTTTCCAAACCTCGTGTTTGCAGCCCTTCACCCACTCCCAGCAGATGTTTGTGACTTCATCAGAGCAAAGTCTCATCATCACCATTTTCTTAATCTTTCATATTAGATTTCTCATCTTACTTAGGAATAATTTCTCTAAATTATATCCTTCTAAAGTATAGTTTTCCAGAACTATAAACTGGATTTACATAATGCTGAATGATAGTGTCGAAAACAGGAAAGTTCAATAGTATAACAAAGAAAATTCCTCAATTTGCCTGTTTATTTGGGATATGACGGTGGTCTTTCCTGCTTCCCATCATTCTCTTACTCTATGGCCCCTGCCATTCCTCCCTAACTGTGACCTGATCATCTATTTTAATGACAAGCACAGCACTGCCTCCTGCACAGTAAAACGTGAGGGTCACTATGCAGCCCTTTCTCCAGCCTGCCCTCTCAGTGAACCATATATCAGCACTGAATGGCCAGCCTACAGCCTCATCCCCTTACACCCAGGAGACCAAGGATGGGCTTGTCCTGGTCCCTGGGGAGATGATTTTCCAATTTACCTGGTGCTTCTTTCTTCCTCTGCGACCTGGAAGAATGGATTCTTTTTCAATCTCACCAAAGCTCTGTGCCTCAGTGTTCACTTGCTGCTTGCTTATGGTCTGGGTGTAGCATTAACATCGTCTGTGTAGCTTTAGGAAGCACGGCAGCTTTCAAAAGTGGAGGTGAATTGACATCATTTGTCAGAACAACCGAATCAGGTTCGTGGATGTACTAGCAGAGAAATGGAGTCAGGAATTGAGAAACGTAGTCGGCTAATTGAGATTTAATTTAATGCATTGTTTTGACAATTACCAAGGTCAATTCTTTGTTAGAATGAGTGAAATTCTCTCCTGAGCCTGAGTCTAGGTTATCTCAAATTATCAGTAGCGTTTGTATTTGTTTAATTGCAAATTTGTCACCAACTAAGATCTTTATAAAATACAATAAATGAGTCATTTTAAGAGCGAAATTGAGACTGAGGACTTGAAAAATTTTGTTAGTTTTAAAACACACAGAAAAAACTACAGTCAGATTGCCTTGTAAGTTTCGAAATATTGACTACAAATTTCTATACTGGCTCAGTACAGACCTTCGACAACCAGACCCTGAGCTCTGTGTGTCCTTTGAGAAATGCTGATCTAGTGTACGGTTACCATGAGGGGCACACACATGAAATAATCACCATGTCTGTGATAGTGAGCATCCAATGCAGTCAGATTTAGTGATGTTAATCGTATCCTTCCTTCAGCATCTTCTTCAGGTCAGTGAAACATGAGAGGGCACTAAGTTTGCTTATTATATAAACAGTGACCCCTGTCTGTTCTTGAGCAGACACTTTTATATAGAAGAATCAATTGCTAATTTCTTTATTATATGTTTATTTTTGTGCCAGAAAAGAATTAGTTTTATGGCATCATGTGCCTATTATCTGAATCTTGCATCTGCTCATTTTTCAGTTTTTGGTATGGTACTTTACCAAGCAGACTATGTCACATGCTTGCGTGATGAATCTGAGTCCGTTATTAATCATCTTAAATGTGACTGGAGGTCTCGTTCTCTCTCGAGTGTTGCCAGTAGAAGAGTGTAAATTGCTGTTGTTTTCTTTCAGCGAATTCAAGGTCGAAAAGCCAGCCTGGAGGAAATACAGCTTGTTCATTCCGAACGTCACTCACTGCTATACGGCACCAGCCCCCTGGACGGGCAGAAGCTGGACTCCCGGACACGGTTAGGTCTGTACAGGCCTCCTTTCTACTGAGAACAGCACATTCCACCACCGCCATTAGTCAACGCTGGTGTCAGCTCAAAATACTTGGCAAGCAGTGTGACAAAATAAAAATCAATTTTTCCAGCAGTTGCTGCCTGGAATGAGTTGTGTAAGATAGAAAAGCCAGTGCCGATCAAGAGAATCCTGCATGAGAAAATGGCGCTGCGGAGTGTGGAGGGCTTATTTTTAAATTAACTTTTATCTGAGTAGCAGTTATATGGTAATGCTTCCGCATGTAGAAATATTGGAGTTTGCCAAATGTGTTTGCTCATCTTTTTAAATGGAAATCTCATAAAACCTTTTCACACTCTTTATGAAGATTTCTTTTTACCCTTCTCCTTGTTTTCTCTCCTTCAGTTCTTATTTCTGAACTCCACACAGGGAGATAGCAGGGTGTCTTATTCAGATAAAAGCTGGAAGTCTTAATGCAGGCCACTAAATACTTGCTGCACTTCTGAAAACTAAATATTCCAGTAAATGCTGCAAGTAGAAAATTAATTTGTTTCCATGAACAGATGATTTTTTTCCCTAAAACCGTATCAGACTTTAAAATAAAATTTAAGCAATGAGACTTAGTATGGATACTTGAAACAGTATTTTTGGAAAATATTAGTGCAAAACAGTAGTAGAAAATTGTGTTTTATTCATAATCCCTTATAATTGAATAACAATGCCTAACTTGGAAACACATGCTGAAATAATTGTATTTTACAGTTTTAACTTAAAAGAAACACTTGAAAACTTGCCTCTTTCCTTTGAGGAAATCTATTGAATCAGCCTTACTTTATCAAACTCTCTTACATAATTCAACACTATTTCAAAATAATTTGTTAACCGGCCTTAAGTAGTTCAGAGCAAGTATATGGTGCTCATAGAGAAGCATCATGGAAAGCGGTGAAGAAAGGTCAGCGGCTCTGCACACATCCTGGACCTTCTTACACGAGGCAAGCCCCTCCAATGAGGGCACACGTGCACTAGTGTGTCCCTGCCAATGTGTGGACCAGGACAGGTCTGGCAGCTCGGGAGAACTAAACAGAATGAGAACAAAGAAATTCCTCAGTTTTTAGAAAGAATGTTGCTCAAAATTGGTTCTGGTAAGCAATTTATTTCATATGATTAAATTCATGTATGACATACATGAATACAGATAAATCAATTTAAGCATCTATATTTAGATCGTTTTCCTGGTTCTGTTTATTGGGTCTATGTGTGTGGCCCAGGTTGGCTTTGAGCTCTTGGTTCTCCCTCCTCAGCATCTCAAGAGCCAGCCACCATACCCAGGTCCCCGTCGTTTGGGTAAAATCACGCTTTGAACATAAAATGCTTCACTCAGGTGTGTAAGCATTAGTGAGCATGGACTGGTGTGTGCAGTCTTCCCTAGCAACCACCATTCCATGTTTTAAGAACAAAGACATTTGTTAATGAAGTGAATTTTGAACTTGGACAGCATGCTTTATGAATATACTATATTTATGAATTACAGATAACTACATCAATCAGGGCAACACTTCAGTACGGGCTACCCCAGTGCAGGCAGTGCAGAGGGGCTCAGCTGCTATATCCACTTTGGCGACACTTAGAGCTCCCTGAGCCTGTGTGGAGAATGAGAAGTACAGTTGGTCCCCACCAGCTCCAGCTCACAGTAGATGGCCAGGTTCTCTTAGAAGCTTGATCTACATTCTTTGTGGAATTTGGATTATTGTGCTTTGTGATTCTTTAGTTTCCAGTAGACTGGAATGATGCTATTCTACATGTAGAAAGTCGGGATGCTTTGTCTAATTCGTCCATCCTGTTCAGTCCCATGCAACTGTTGGACTTCCCCTATTCCTCCCAACAAGATGAGAGATGTCACTTCAAACTCCAAATTTATACTAGACTCTAGATAACTACGATTTGAATTTGAAGGAAGATTTAAATAAAATTCAGTATGACGAGACTAACCAGTCTTTGTATCTTGAAAAACATCTATACATTACAAAGTGATTGTGTTTTATTGTGACTGCCCATTTATCTCTGTAGATACTCTGGGCCTTGTGTGATGATATTTTGAAAATATTGTCCTCCCTGGTTTCTAGCAGGAGGTTTTCTGTAGCGTTAATGACTCAGCCATTCTTATTTCCGTTTTCCATTCCCTCCGGTCCGTCAGATTTCAGTCCACTGATCAGATAATACAGTGCTGTCAACAGCAGTTTCAGAAAATGAAGTAAATGTTTCTCACACAGCTGAATTAAAATTATCAATTACTTAATTCATTTTTATTATCATATAACTAAACTTTAAACATCATTAAATAAATTTATTTCCCTCATTCCCTTAGAGCTTAATGAATTCTTTGATTACTTCTTTAAAATCCTTGATTGCATTAAACAGTTCCTTTACCTCTGTTGCTCGCTCATAAATAATGAGTTCAGATATTAAAAATGTGCTTAGTTCACATTTGAGATATGAGTACCTTTGTTAATAATAACAATATTAAACAAGTTTACCCTGTTGCGGAGTTATGCAGGAATGTTTGTTGATTTATGTGTGTGCGCTTACCTGTTTGTATGTATTTTGTGCAGCGCTATGCAGTAGTATTTGCTGATTTATTCATGTGTGTGTGCTCACTTGTTTCTATGTATCAGTGACTTTTGCAAGGGGCCTGTGATCAGAGAACAGGTTAAGACTCTTGCTTTCTCTTGAGTCCTTAACACAGGTTACGCTGTTTTGCAGCCCACTAAGCCATCTCTCTTGTCCCTAAGTTTTCTGTTTTGTTTTTATTTGTTTGTTTGTTTGGTTTTGGAGACAGAGTTTCTCTTTAGCTTTGGCTCCTCTCCTGGAACTAGCTCTTACAGACCAGGCTGGCCTCTAACTCACAGAGATCCGCCTGCCTCTGCCTCCCGAGAGCTGGGATTCAAGGTGTGCGCCACCACCTGGCTCTGTTTCTTCACTGGTGCCAGTGTTCCATGCCTTGTGCCTTCTCCGCAAGTGCTCTATCATTGAGCTCATTGAGCTCCACCTCTTGTTTGTTTTTCTAAGAAGGAATGTCTCTACCTAATTAGATGCTTTTATTTACACATTGAGTTTTCTTTATAATTTTCTTGTAAGTTAGTGTATTAAAAAAAAACGATCTCATAAAGTGTATTGCTTTCAAAATGAGCTCTCTTCGGTGACAGTCATCTCTATGAACTTACACTCAGCTCGCGTGTATTTCACCACAAACCTCTTTTCAGTTTTAATTGGCATTTCATTGATTGGCAGCAGAGCATAGGTGAAGTGGAAGACTGTACCGGGCTCCACCAATGGTGCTGAGCGCCCTACCTTCATTTCAGGAGACCATCATAATTAATATTTCAGGACATATGTTAAATTTGACTTGTTTGTATTTATATCAATAGACCCTCCCGCAAATGATACCATCCTTATTATATTATGTTTTCAAAAATTTGCGAACAATGGAGAAGCCTGTGATGTACTTGATCTTACTTACTCCTTAGGTAGATCGAGATACTCAGAATATGTAAATATACATACACATTTCTTGGACTAAGTTCCTGGTTCTGAAGGGGTAGCTTGGTGGTTAGAGCACTGACTACTCTTGCAGAGAACCCAGTTTGGACTGCCAGCACCCGCAGGATGTCTCATGACTACCTGTAGCTCCAGTTTTAGGGAGTCCCAAGCACACACACGTGGTGCCCATACACATATCTTGGCCAAACACACACAAATAAAATAATTAAATAATAAAAAGACAATGACACTTGAGAAAATATATTGCATTTGAACTTCTTAAAATAGCATTGTGTCTTTTCATAAAGCTTGTGGTTTGAACCACCCTATTGGAACACAAGCTCAGTAGATCACAGAGTCACTTTCCATGAGTTGCCGTTTTTTAAATGGTAATGAATAGTTTTAGAGACTGGGGTGTTCCGCGCTCGGTCTCGCCTGTAAGAACCATGTGGGACATAGGATCCTTCTGTAGAAAAGCTTTTAATGCATCTTGAGAGAGAGAGAGAGAGCATAAGCTAACATGGCCAGGGACCCAGCTATGAAGGAACCCATCCCTTATATAGGAAAATAGTCCTTGCTTTGGACGTGTCATTTTTGGATTGGTTAATTGTCCATTATCTCAGATGATGTCTCGAGAGTAGGCGGGGACTCAGTGGAAAGTTATCGAGCATATGTGCATTCACCTGGCGGTGAAGCGGGATGTCAGCGCCATCTTGTGATGGAGAATGTGGCTGCGGCCCTCTACACTGGGGCAGGAGGATTGTTGTGAGTTCAAGGGCAGCCTGAGCTATGGAGCGAGTGGCACCAGCCAGCAAGACAGAATGAGATTCTATCTCAAAAACAAAAACAGACAAACAAACAAAACCAAAGGTGCTATCTTCCTGAGGAAGGCAGAGTGTATTTCCAAATGCCCTCAAGGGGCGGTGGGATGGGCAGACTGTGTCTACAATCTGTCTCTGCTTCTGCTTCAACCCTGAACAGACACTGCCTCACCCAAGGAGGGCTTGAGCAAGAGAGGAGCTTCAAGAAATTGAGGTCAAGGACATCTTGGACGTCTGGGTGAAGGAGTAGGGGAGACACGGGGATATTGCTGCAGGCCAAGAAGTAGGAAAAAGCTTTAGCTGATGCTCAGCCAGTGTCTTCACTTGGGGATCAAAGCCCCATGGGAGTCATGAGCTGAAGAAGTTTTGTACCGCAAACAGACCAATTTTTAAACCAAATTTTATTTACATGTGCTTGTTCATGTGAGTTAACCAATTCTTTCTCTCTCTCTCTCTCTCTCTCTCTCTCTCTCTCTCTCTCTCTCTCTCTC